CGACGACCAGCACCACCCACCATGATTGAGCATGATGGTGGTTGAGCGGGAATGGGGGTGATGGTGATTGACCTTCCCCGCTGCTGCGTAATACTGCGGTCACAATGATGGCGGTACATGTTTCCGAACGGTGGGATCCCCGGATGAAGTTGCCCCTGGATTCCCTGCGCCTCCACCAAGGTGGCGCCTGGGATGTTCGATTTGAAGTCCTTCACTTTCTGGTAGCGCACATTTCGTGCAAGAGGTGAAGTGCGCACCGCCCTTAAGAGTTGAACCCCCGGACGGCCTCCGGGGATCAATCCGAATTTCCGGGGGTTCAACCGTCCCGCCAGGGATTCAACCCCTCGCCCAGCGGGGCCAGGTCTGAGATCGCTCTCAGGCGCGTGACAGCCCGGCGGAAGAGCAGCACCGCGAGCAACGCGGCACCCAAGATGCTGCTGTTGGCCACGACGGCACGGCTCCAGCAGCCGTAGGCCTGCAGCACCCTGGGCATGCGGAAGTAGTTGACGCACTGCCAGACCGACCGCATGGGGAAGTCCAGGGTCCTCATCTGCTCCAGCAGCGGTTCGATCAGCTCGCTGCCGAAGGCCCCGTGGATGCCCATGATGAGCGTCAGGCTAGCCTCTCTCAGGAGGTGGGCCAGCTCGGCGGCTGCGTCGTGGCCGAACGTCGAGTCGATGGAGGAGGCGCCGCGCCTCATGCCGAAGATCGCCGCGCCGGGATGGTCGCTGATCCACTGACGGGATAACGGGCACCGCACCCGGGCCCGCGCGCGGATGAGCTGGAGCCGCTGTCGTCGGGCTTCGGGAGTCGTATCATCACGTTGATGATCTTGTCCGACGGCCAGCCCAGGAGCTCCTCGCATCTCATGAAGAGCAGGGCAAGCGCGTGCAGGGCGCCGTCCGACGCAAACCACAGCGCCCGAGGGTGCGAACGCGACTGCCCGACAGCCGTCTCCCAGCTGAACGTCAGCAGCGCCGCCCGCACGTCCTGGCCGATCTGCGGGAGCTGCGGCCAGCTGGCCTCGTGGCCCGGCAGCGCCGTCCAAGCAGCGCCACGTGCTGTCCAGAGGTCCTCCCGCTCGTCGATGGCCTGGTCCGCCAGCACGCGTGGGCCCACGCCTCGCAAAGCAGCGACGAGCTCCAGTCGTTCCTGGAGGTGCGTCGCGCGATGGGCACCGCTGGCTGCGTTCGCGAAGGCTTCGTCCAGCCAGCTGCGCCAGCGCTGCGCCGGGGCTGGTCGCGCGCTTGAGGTCGGCGAGAAACGTGATCGGCTCCGCCATCCTGGCGTCGAGCTCGTCGACCGCCAGCATCTGCAAGCCAAGGGCGAACATGTCGCGGACCGCTGGCGGCACCTCGCACCACGCGCGCTGCGCGCCGAGGATCCTACGGCAGAAGGCGAGGAGGGCGGCGAGGTTCTTAACGAAACCTGGCAGGACCGCAACGGGATGCCCCGTCACATAGGGCTGCATCTTGACCAGATGCGCCCTCGCATGAAGTACATGCTTCGCCCAGCGGGCGATCGAGCTCCAGGCAAGCAGCTCGGAGGACAGGCGCAGCCGTTTGCGTGGCGACTCCCAGCGCAGGCGCGCCCTCTTAGTGCGAGGCGCACCCGCGCGCCCCTCGCGGCGCCTCCTGGCCTCGCCGCCGACGAGGTGTCAGCGGTCGAGGACCTCGAGTGCCTGCGCCGCCGCGTCCCAGCAGGCCTGCAGGTCGCTATCGCCGCTGGCCGCAATGATGGCCTCCTGCGCCGGCAACCAGACGTCGTCGCGCGGCGGCCTCGAGCATCCCAGCTTCACCGCCAGCAGCGGCGCTGGCGAGATCGGGGCGCGCTGCCGCAAGATGCGGTCGTCCGCGAGGATCGGTGCGTCCACGGCCGCGCGGACGGGCCGCGGCGTCGTCTCGTCGGCGGCGGGCGCGCCCAGGCCCGGGGCGAGGCTGGCGCAGGCGACGGCGTAGGCGAGGATCCGACCAGGTATTGTCTTGCAGCGCGTCGGCTCGCGCGGAACCACGATGATGCCGCCGACGCAGCTGGCCCAGCGCTGCGGCATCTCGCCGGGTGGCCATGTTCCAGTCGCCGAGCGCCAGCCAGTCGTAGCCCTGCTGCGCGACCTCCGCGAGGTGTGACGCCGGGCTCCTCAGCGGGCTGATGTTGTCCGCATTCCCGGGGCCCACGCTGATGATCAGGCATGCGCTCGCGACGTTTATACCGCTGGGCGGTCCGCGGCGACGAGGCGGCCAGGCGCAAGGACGCCGGCAGCACCATGCTGCCAGACTCCAACCGGCGCGGGCGCCGCCGTGACCCCGATGTTGGACCGCGCAAGGGCCGCCGCGCTGCCAGTGGCGCCGCCCCCGCCCGTAGGCGTCGCAGGCGCAAGCGCTCCGCGCCAGTCCATGTCGAGGAGGTTCCTCTCGAGCTGCGTGAGCCGCTCGGCGGAGGTGCGGTGCTCCTGGGCGGCCCAGACGCAGCAACCTGGGCGCTCCGCTGCCGGCGGGTTCTCGAGCGGGCCAGCGTTGTCCCCGTTGGCCGAGTTGACGATGCCCTTGATCCGCGGCACTGGGGCCTCTTGGCCAGCGCTCTCCTGGCTGGCCTCTGGGCCGACCTGCAGCAAAACGACGTCGCGAGCACCTGTGCGCGGATGATCGCGTGCGTCGGGCGGAGGCGTAGCTGAAGGGCAGGATGGGGAAGCTGAGACGCCCTCCGGAAAGCACTCGGCGAGGGGCAACGCGTTGCGGAAGGTCGCTTCCGGCATGTTCCGGACAATGCGTTCCGGAACATGCCTCTAGGCGCGCGCTGCATCCCGTAGGGGGCCGCGCCTTGAGGCGGCCGACCGCGCGCACACGACGAGGCCGAAGGCGATGACGCAGTAGCAGGCACCCGTAGCACCACTGCCCCAGTGCCCCAGAAGGGCCCTCGTCAAAGCACACCGTGTAGTAGAATAAGCACTCCGTGGTCGTCGTCTGCTGGCGGATGGCACGCACCTCAGCGAGATCGGCATGCCCAGCGTCCCTCTGTACGGAAACTGCCCGGGCAATAACTGTCACGGGTGGCCCGTCCGCGTGCCCGTCCGCGTGCCCGGCGGGTCCAGGGGCTGCCCAGGTGCAAATCGGTGGGCTGGTCGCCGAGCCCTGCGGCACCACGCTGCATGTCTCCATGTTATTCCAAGCGCAATAACTGAGGAGCGTAGCAGGTCGCGGCCTAGTAGAACGCGTTGGCAGCCTCTCGGACTCGGCGCGCTGCGGCAAGCTTAGCCTCCACATCGCTAGCCCCAGGAGGCACGCCAGCCTGGGCCAAGAGGCCGTCGAGCTGTTCGGGGCCCAAGCCCTCGAGCTTGCGCCTCGCCCCCTCGGCGTCGCCCGCCCCCGCGCCATCGAGGATTGGGGCAGCGGCGACGAGCGCGCCGCCTGCGTCTGCAGGGCCAGGCGGCTCTCCTGCGCCGCGCCGGCCTGTAGCGGCGGCGGCCTCGCTGCCTCCGCCCGCGGCCGGGGCGGGGCTGGCGAGCCCTCGCTGCGCCGAGACGGACTGGCCCAGCTGCGACGCGACCTGCGGGGCCAAGTCCGCGGCAGTGCCCGGGTCCATCCCGGGGCACTGTAGCAGCGCATCGAGCTTGCCCACGTCGGCGCGGAAGAGCGGCGCCGTGAGGCTGGCGGCTGCGGGCGAGAGCACCTGCGTCGTCGCCAGCTGGTGCAGCTCCGCGGCGAGCGTCGCCTGCTCCGCCCTCTTCTTGGCCAGCTTGGCCGCCGCCGCGTCGCGCTGCTCCGTGATGGCCTTGACCTGTCCCTCGAGCCGCTGGAGCGCGGCGTGGCCTGCTCGTGGCGCTTCTGGCGCTCGACGACCTCCTGCAACTAAGCGCTGGACGGCTTGGAGGCAAGCAGCTGCGCCTGGAGCGAGGCAAGGGTGGCGCGGTTGGAAGCGAGCGCGTCCGCGTGCCAGACCTCGTCGACCTCGGACTCCATGGCTTCGATCTTCTGGAGGGTGACCTCGACGCGCTTGACGCGCGCGCGGACCCCCCCGTCCGAGAGCTCGCCGAGGCCGTCGCCGCCCATGACGTCGTCGCCGTCGGCGTCGGGCGCAGCAGCGGGAGGCGCAGGCCTCTGGGCGGCCGCGCCAGCCTCGCGCTTGGCGTTGGCGCCCTCGCGCTTGATCCGCCCGAGCCCCGCCTTGACCTGCTTGAGCTCCGCCTCGAGCTGCTCCCTGGCGGCCTCGCGCCAGGGCGAGGAGCCGCCGCTGCGCGGAGGCACGCGCGCAGACGGCGAGCTCGGGGCGACCTCGGCCTTGAAGCAGATGCCAGTGGCGCGCCAGCACATCCCGCAGCTGGCCGCCATCGCGACGTTCCACCAGTCCTGGCCAGTGGCCTCGTGCGCGCAGAAACGGCACAACCACTTGGCCGCTCGCTCGGTGCGCTCACCACGACGGCGCGACGTCGCCATGCTGCTGGCGGCCTCGCCGTGGTGGGCTGCGACCAGGCGCCGCGCCGCGTCCAGGCGAAGGATGCGCCGCGCCTCGCTTCACCTCCGCCGCGCGCGCCTATGCCAGGCGGGGGAGCTGGCCCGCTCCCGAGGTGCGGTCGTTGGACCAGGGCCCTGGGCAGGGCGCCTGGCTGGGATCGAATGGGATGCCGCGCGCCGCCCCAGCGGGTGTACGGAACCCAAATGGCAACCTTCAGCCAAAATGGCTACGGAGGAGGAGGAGGAGGAGGAGGAGGAGGAGGAGGAGGAGGAGGACGAGGAGGAGGAGGAGGAGGAGGAGGAGGAGGAGGAAGGAGGAGGAGGAGGAGGAGGAGGAGGAGGAGACGGGCCTTTACGCTCGCTGGGGCCAGCGTGCCAAGCCCGCTCCCTTCCGGCCCAAATTTCTCGCCGCCTCCTTGCCCCGCCTCCCGCTCCCTACCCTTGCGCACTCGCCGTTCAGTGCGCTGCGCTTCAGTGGGTGCTCGGCAAGCCACCCGCTACTTCGCCTCCACTGCCCATCGTGAGGCGGCCCCCCCCCCTTCTCCTGCAAAGGTCGTCGTCGTGTGGGACACCCCGGACGTGGACCTGGTCCGCGCCCTGGCGGGCAGGCTGGAGAGGAGCGCGCCCTTTGGCCATTTGTTGCTCGCAGTCCTGTCCGGCGCGCTTGCGGGCCAGCCAGGAGGGTGCTGGCTGAAGTGAGCTGCGGCTAGCCTCACGGCTCTCACAACTTCGCGGGTCAAAGCAGTGGCGGGGCGGGGGGGCCGGGCGAGGCCGGGGGGGCAGGTGCCACGGAACGCCTCACCGCTTACTTTGATATTAGATCGTTTTTTTGTTGTGAAGACCAGGTGAGCATTGAGCGGGGATAGAGAGAGAGAGAGAGAGAGAGAACGAGAGAGAGAGAGAGAGAGATGTGGGCACGATCCTCGTAGTGTTGTTGTGTGTAGGAAAGGATGCAGGGAGGAAGGGAGGGCCAGAGGGAGGGAGAGGTAGGGGGACATGGGGGACGGGAGCAGAGAGCGGGCGAGCGGGCGGCAAGGGTGGAGGGATATATTGATTCAGTGTATGTTTCAACGTGGTGAGTCTGGACGTCGGGCGTGAGGGAATGGGGGAGGGAAGAAGGGGGAGAGGGAGGGCGAGGAGTGAGCGAAGGAGGGATTGAGTGGGGAGGTGAGTGAAGTGCCAGCAGCAAGGAGCGGGCTGGCAATGCGAAAGGAGGGAGTAGGAGGGTGTGTGTGTGTGGAGGGAAGGAGGCAGAGAGGGAGGAGCGGGAGAGGGAGTAGGTGACCTGTCGTCCTTCAGCTGTGTGCCTCAGGGCGCGTAAGGGCGCCCTGCCCTGCCGTAATTCTTCCCTGCTCGGCAGGAGCCTCAGCGACCATTACGACACAGGGGCCGCGCCACCCGCCTGCTGGCCTTGGAGGAGTCTGACGCTGGTGTTGATGATGATGATTCTGATGATGATTCTGATGATGATTATGATGATGCTGCTGATGATGATGCTGGTGGTGATGATGATGAGGATGATGATCAGGATGAGGGTGAGAAGGATGAAGAGGGAGTTGAGGATACGGATGATGATGAGGATGATGATGATGCTGATGCTGCTGCTGATGATGATGCTGTTGTTGATGATGATGATGAGGACGATGATGACGATGATGATGTTGATATTAATGACGATGCTTGTGGTAATGAGGATGAGGATGATGAGGTTGAGGATGGGGAGGATGATGAGGAGGAAGGGGATACGGGTGATGATGATTATGATGATGATGCTGGTGATGATGATGATGCTGATGACGATGACGATGACGATGATGATGCTGATGCTGCTGATGATGATGATGATGATGGTGATGGTGGCGATCATGTGGATGATTCATGATGATGGTGGTGCTGATCATATTGATGATGACGGTGATGCTGATGATGCTGATTCTGGTGATGATGATGCTGCTGGTGATGATGCTGATGTCGATGACGATGCTTATGCTGCTGCTGATGATGGTGATGATAATCTTGATCAGGATCATGATGCTGCTGATGATGATGACGATTCTGATGATGCTGATTATGATGATGATGATGATGATGATGATGATGATGATGATGATGATGATGATGCTGAGGCTGATGATAATGACAATGACGTTGATGATGATGATGCTAATAGTAATTATAATAATGAACATGATTATGATGAGGATGAGGATGAAGAAGCTGATGCTGATGCGGATGCTGAAGAGCTGATGAGTACGATGATGGTGCTGATGTTGATGCTGATGCTGGTAATTCTACTGATGATGGTGAGGATGAGGCTGAGGATGAGCATGATGAGGAGGAGGAGGGTGATGACTCTGCTGGTGATGATGGGGATGAGGACTATAATGATGATGCTGATGGGGATGACGATGACGATGATGCTGATCATGATGATGTTGATGCTGATGACTATGATGATGATGCTGCTGCTGATGATGATGATGATGATGTTGATGCTGAAGCTTAAGATGATGAGGATGAGGATGAAGGTGCTGCTGAGGAGAAGGGTGGGACTGAGGATGAGGAAGCTTATGCTGCCGTTGATGATGAGGATGAGGATGGGCATGCGGATGATGATCCTGACAATGATGAAGCTTATGATGATGATGATGATGATGATGATGATGATGATGATGACGATGATGATGATGATGATGATGATGATGATGATGCTGATGCTGATGATGATGATGATGACGATGATGATGATGATGATGCTGATGCTGCTGATGATGCTGGTAATGTGGATGATGATGCTGATGCTGGTTCTGATGCTGGTGCCGATGCTGGTGCTGATGCTGCTGCTGATGATGATGACGACGATGCTGATGCTGATTATGATGAGGGTGCGCTTGATAGTGAGGAGGATGTGGATGAGGATGAAGATGCTGGTGCTGATGTGTATGATGAGGAGGGTGATGCTGAGGATGATAATGAGGATGATGACAATGATGACGACGACCATGATGATGATGATGATGATGATGATGATGATGATGATGATGATGATGATGACGATGACGATGGTGATGCTGGTGATAACTATACTGATGCAGCTGGTGCTGTTCAGGAGAAGAAGCAGGATGAGGGTGAATATGCTCATGATGGGGATGAAGACGAGGACGATGATGCTGTGTTGGATTATGATGATGACGAGGCTGATGAGGATGCTGCTGATGATGATGATGATGATGATGGTGATGATGATGATGCTGATGCTGATGCTGATCATGATGGTGATGCGGATGCTAATGCGAATGATGATGTCGATGTCGATGCTGATTCTGATTTTGCTGCTGCTTCTGATGATGATGAGGATTATGATGACTATGCTGGGAATGAGGATGATGATGATGAGGAGGAGGGGGGCGGGACGACGATAACGATAATGATGATGATGTTGATGATGATGCTGATGATGATGATGTGGTGGATGAGGATGTGGATGATGCTGATTATGATGCTTAGGATGATTATGAGGTTGATGTTGATGCTAATGCTGCTGCTGCTGGTGGTGATGATGAAGGTGACGATGAGGATGAGGAGGATGACGATTGTGATGCGGATGCTGATGATGATGTCGTTGATGTTGATGATCCGGCTGTATGGTGATCAGAAGGAGGATCATGACGATGAGGGAGCTGTTCATGATGATGATTAGGATGATGATGTTGATGCTGATGATAATGCTGATACTGATGTTGAGGCTGATGCTGCTGCTGCTGATGATGGTGGTCAGGAAGGGGATGATGAGGATGCTGAGGCTGATGATGATGACGACGACAATGCTGGTGATGATGATGACGATGATGACGATGCTGATGATGCTGAAGCTCATGATGATGATGATGTTGATGCAGAGTCTTCTGCTGCTGATGATGATGATGATGATGATCATAATGATGGTGATGATGGTGATGAGGAGGAGGAAGATGATGGCGATGATGATGATCAGGATGAGGATGAGGATGAGATGATGCTTACGCCTGTGATGCTGATATGATGCCGAGGAGGATGATGACGTTTATGATGATGATGATTGTGATGATAGTGATGAGGATGATGAGCAGGAAGAGGTGGAGGAGGACGAAGCTGATGAGGATGATGACGATGCTGCTGATGATTATGATGATGTGGAGGATGAGGATGCTGATGATGCTGATGATGAGGAGCAGGAAGAGGGGGAGGAGGACGATGATGATGAGGATGATGACGATGCTGCTGATGATTATGATGGTGCTGCTGATCTTGATGCTGGTGCTGATTCTACTGCTGGTGATGCTGGTGATGCCGATGATGACGATTCGCATGATGATGAGGATGCTGGTTCTGATGAGCAATATAATTACGTGGATGATGCTGATGCTTAAATGATGATCCTGATGTTGCGGATGGTGATGCTGATGATGATGATTAGGATGAGGATGAGGATGAAGATGAGGAACATGATGAGCAGGAGGGAAGGGAGGATTATGATGATGAGGATGAGGATGAGGATAGAGGATGAGGATGATAATGAGGATGCTGGTGAGGATGAGCTGGCTCCAGGGGTTCAAGGTCTCAAGGGGCCCCAGGCTTAAGGGTCGGGTAGCCGTGCCTAGTAGACCGTTCTAGCACATGCCTTCCAGTGGGCGCGTTTCTTGCATTGGCTATTTCGGAGGGTGGCGAGGGCATCGGTCATATAAGGTCCACGCCAGCTGCATTGTCATCTTGTTTTCCCGTGCGTTATTCGTTTTGACATCGACTGCGTGGGTGATGCCTTTGTAGCCTCTCCAGGCCTTGTGAACTTCGAGCCTGTGATCTGGAACACGCAGACTAGACTTCCATACAGAACCACCATAGTTTTGAAATGCGTGGCTCGCCGTCACCGTCCCTCAACAGAAGCATGTTTACAATACATGCCGCAGTGGTGGATCAGCGTTCATAAGTTCATAGGCATTTTTGCAGTACGTTCTGTAGCGGGCACGGGTTGCGCAATCATCTTGCCCAAAGCCGATGCGTCCTCTATCATATGGGAGGTGCACGAAGATCGTTGTAGCATTATTGTCGTGGGCCATCACATAATTGCATCAGCCCACGTCCTGGAGTATGGCAATGACAGGCTGTGTGCATCGATCGCCCTTACGAGAGCGAAGGTGCTTTGCAAATCAGTGGTGCCCGATAGTGTTATTAGGTATGGATGCTGATGTCAGCTTGCCGCCTGGCACACTTGGGGTTACGGGCACGGTGTGTGCGAGAGCCCTTCTTTCTCATCGTGTTGGTATGCAGAGGACTGTTTTAGATTTCCATGTCACGCCCGACCTCGTTGTCCACAATTCGTTTTCGACTATTCCTTTGGATCGATCTTTCACGAGGTTGGGGACGAAGAGGACTGCCAGGAACAAATCGCACATTGATTTTGCTAGCACGTTATTGTCACAACAATGTCTGCGTTTCCTGATATTCAGGTTGATGAAGTTCCGAAGTCCGAGCTCTGGGAGTCCGATCACCTACAACTTCGTTTCAGAGTGGTTCTCGATGCGGATGAGTGACTACGGATTCCTAGGGCTGAGCTTTCCGATTTTCGCAAGATGCAACAACGTTGGAATATCGATCGCATTTGCGACAAAACACAGTTCTGGTATGACATCTTCACGCGGCGCTCCGAGAACATGAGCTTGTGAGACTGCGTTTGGTCTGTGCAGGATGCCATTGTCAAGAGTGCGGACAAGATAACACCATTGAGTGGGACGAGGATGAGATAGACGTTGAGCGATCAGTAGGCGGCAGGAAAAGAGACGGAAACACGCATCTTCTTCCAGCCAGGCGAAGTCCAATGCATCAATGGGTCAGTGTGGCAGGCATGGCATGAACCAGTACATCCTCACGTGCACATCTCAACGCAATAAGGCTCTGGATGCGCAGCCACCTGTACTCTTGAGCATTGAGGGTCAAGAGTCAGCAGACAGAGGCGCGTGGCAGGGGGCATTTAAACGGCTTGGAGAAAACATGTTTGCAGGCGATGCGGGGAGCATCGGTTGTTTCAGCACCACTGTCGATGAGTGCCAGACCACTGCATACGCCAGCACTTTGGACAACCGTATTCTTGGAGCCCCTTCGTTTGCTGATTTTGCTGATGCCTTCTCGCGCTTATCCTTAACTTCAGCGCCTGGCCTGGACGAGATCCTGGGAACGGCTTGGGTTTTTGCCCCGCATTGGATGACATGTAGGTTGTATGAGAGGTGGCACGACACGTCTTCGAGTGACCCGGATTTGTTCACACGGAAGAGGTCTTCTCTGCGCGGAATACAACAAGTACCCAATCCAGTTTCGATCAGGCAGTTCAGGTGGCTTGGCATCTTGGACCACTCATACAAGCTGCACTCCGGTGCGGCCAAATGATCATCGCCCCTACTATCGCCAAACCGATGCGGGCCGACAGCTACGGGTACAAGAAGAAAGCCTCGGTCGACGACGGATTTGTGGTTCTTTTTGAAATCGCTGCTTTTGCAAAGTGATGGGCGACTTCGCTTTGACCCCGATCAATCGTGTGACGCGAGGGGTCGTCAGCGTCATCGCCCCCTCGCGTGCGCGAGGGGCGTCGGCGCGAAGCGCCCGCTGCTCGGCGACGACGACGACGACGTTGCCTCGGGAACACCGACATGGACTACCAGACGTTGCCCCCGATCAAATCTGCATGAGGTGGGGCCAACTCTGGTCGCACTGGCAGGCGAAGCCGCATGTCGAGTTCGCGGTGGACAATCGGTAAAGCAGTGGCGAATCGTCCTGGCTTGCTTGTAGTCCCACCAAGGAATGTACTAATAGCTTTTTGTGGCCTGCGTTTTTTGTTTTTAATTTTTATTGCTCTTATGTATTTATAAATATTTGTTTAACCATTAGTTGCTGATCTTGTTTTGCTTTAACACATGGGGCCTTTGTTCTAAGAGTATGGTGTGGCTCTCAGATCACTTTGAGGTTTTAAGAATATTTCGTGGTAGGCCTCTAGGAATACCGGGACGGTCGGTCCCTGCTCACATCGGACTTTCGCTCAACTTCAGATTGTAGAGATCCGCATCGCAAGCCCGCGGTACGAGCAGGACATCGGCGGGTGGGCGTCCCGCTCACGCGCGGCTTCGCGCGGCTTCGCGCGGGATGCTTACGCGTCTGGGCGTCGGCGCGGTCGGCCCCGGCTTCTCCGGTCGCTCCACGTGCTCCCAGGGAGGAGGACTGGAGGAGCGACGGGGTGAGCGAGAGGGGAGGAAACGTTGCATCTTCGGGGGGCCTCGCCTGTCCCCCAAACTGGTGTCTTTGCGTGTGCCCGACGCGGGCTCGATGCGGGCTCGGCGCGGATCTTGCGTGGGTTCGCCGCGCAGTTGACACGGTCTCGACACGGATCTGACGAGGTCGACGTGCATTCGGCACGGATTCGGCGCGGATAGGGCCGCGACGAGACAGACAAGGCCACCCGAGGATGCAACAGAAGGGAGGGGAAGGATCCCCGCGCTCGTTACCCGAGGTGCCAGCGGGTGCGGCTGCCGACGGGTGTTACCTGTTGAACATAGATTCTCTTCCCTTTGACTACAAGGGTGGGTTTATTGCTTGTTGTGATTGCCGCCCGCGTGAATACAATGCTTTCGCTGATCAGGTGTGCAATGTGGTATTGGATCAAAAAGCAGACATCATAGATGTGGATGTGGACGCAGTTGCCGCCGCTGCCTGTAGTGGGTCTGCGGTCCATGTTTTTCTCAGATGGGTTGCGCCGGGGCGAACGGTGCCGCTGCCGCCGTGGTTGCAGTTTGCGCATATGATGTTGATGAGTGGATGCCCGAATTGATAGGACACAGAAAGAGTTTTCATTGACAATGCGCATTCCGCTTTTCATTCGGAATTTGTTGCCGCTGATCTTGCCTTACAGTGGGCATCGCAAGTCGGCCAGAAGTGCACGACTATCCACATGCATGATGTGCGAAAGCGTTTGCGCACAAGGTTTTATTAAGTCTTTATTCGTCATGTGTGTCATCCTGTGCGTTCATGTTCAAGTAGTGTAGTGCGCTGTCCAGTCTACCTGATCAAGGGAGATGCTACCACAAGTGCTGACCATGATGCTGACTATGATGATGGTGCGGGTCTTGATGTTCATGCTGCTGCTGCTGATGATGATGAGGATGGGGATGATGAGGAGGAGTATGATGATGAGAAGGATGACACTGGTACTGATGAGGGCTTGGATGAGGATGGGGATGAGGATGAGGATGCTGATGCTGACGATGATGATACATCTTCTGATGATGATGATGATGGCCTTGCTGATGTTGATGCTGATGCTCCTGTTGCTGATGAAGCTGTCGATGGTGATGCCAATGATGATGATGAGGGGGATGATTGTGATATTGATGATGATGAGGAGGAGGAGGCCGGTTCGAAAAAGGATGATGGTCCTGATTCTGATGTTGATAATGATGATGATGATGATGATGATGATGATGATGATGATGATGATGATGATGATGATGATGATGATGATGATCATGGTGATGATACTGTTGATGCTGATGCTGATGCTGTTGCTGATGGGGATGAGGACTAAGATCGAGCTACCTAGAGGTCAATGTGACAGGTGATAACAGGTTACGACGGTTGCGACTCCATCACGGGCCTCGCGCTTCTAGCTGGTGCACGCCCAGCGGGGCCGTACGCTTGCGCGCGCGGCCAGGCACCCCGCAGCGGGCCGCCAACAGCTGAGCCGCCACGCCCCGCATGAGCGCTGCGTCGAGCTGCGCCCGCCAGCAGCGCAAGGCGTTGCCTGGGCAGCCGGCCCCTCCGGTGGGCGCGCCTGGCATGCGCCGCCGCGCAGTGCTCCAGCGGGCCTCCGCGCGCGCCCCCAGGCGGCCGAAGGTCTCGTGCGCGCTTGGCCGGACCGCCCTGCTGTGAGCTGCTGGGTAGCGGTCGTCCTTCTCGCCTTCGGCCGCGCGCGCCGCGCGCGCCGCGCTCCCCGGCTCCCGCGCAGCCCCCGGCTGGTAGGCGACCGACGAGGGATGCCGTACCGTGACGTCGACCAGGCAGTCCGGCAGTTTTGGGACGCCATAGGCCCAGACGTCCAGGCATGCTTCCGCGCGACTGGTGGACAGCTCTGGGACAAACAGCCAGCGGCGGACGTGCCCGCCAGCCTCCGCGAGGATGTCCGCGTAAACATCGGCCAGATCGTCGTAGCGGGTCAGAAATGGCCTGCACTCGCACATGGCCGCATGGTCGCCGTCCGGATCCAGCTGGTCAAGGCACAGCTCCTGCGTGGACGTCTTCTCGATGAGGCACTGCGCACCAGGCTGGCACGGCGTGGGAACGCCCAAGCGGAAACGCACGGCCTCCAGCCACTCTCTGTCCGCGAGGGCGACGCCGGAAGCAGAGAGCTCGGCTGCGAGCGCCGCGCCCGCCGTCGGCCCTGCCGCGCTGAGGAGGCGCGTCCGGTCCCGCGTCGCAGCCCCCGCGAGCAAGTCCGAGCAGCGCGCCGCGCCCGAGTGCTGCAAGTGCCTGCTGAGTGGGTGCTGCTCTGGGGCCTCTGGGCGGAGCGGATCGCTCGCGCTGTCTGCAGGGTCCGACGCAGGGTGGCCGCACCCGGCCAGGGCGGCGATGCCGCGCTCCCGCAGCATGTCCAGGATGCCGTCCGAGACAGCATCGTCGACGCCGTCGTACTGCTTGACGTCGCGGGCGACCGCGGCCGCCTCGCTGCCGGCGCCTCGGCGCGGAGTGCGGGGCCATGCTCGACGAGCCGCGCCGCCCGTGCCAGCGGGGCGATGCGGGAGGGCATGTCCACCTGAAGGCCGGCATACCGGACTGGCAGACCAATTTGCTGGAGCTCCGCCTCGGTGAGCGGGTCTGGGCGCAGGTCGATCGACGCCGCGAGGATTAGGATTAGGATGAGGATGAGGATTGATGTGCGTGCACAGGTTTGAATGGGAGTTGCTCGGAGTCATGTTGCCTTGCGTCTGTCAACCGCAACCGTTTTCTCTCAAGTTTCTCGCGGGATGAATCCCGGGCAGGCCGCCAGCACAGGGGCGGTCTTTGTGGCTTTCCTCGAAACCGTTGTCCGACCCCTTCTCATTCACCCGCCACAGATCAATTGCTCTGGCGGCGGCGAGCCCTGGCCCGAGTGTCCGCCGTGCCCGAGCCTGACTTGCCCGCCCGCGCTGCCCGCGGAAGTGTTCGGTCTGAGGGAGTGCGCTGCCGACAGTGAGCCCGTGTGTGAGGCGGGCTGGTGGGTACTGCTCGGCTGCCTCTCCTCGGCGATCAACACCTTCTGCCTCGCGGTGTCCGCCTGCCGTCGCCGGCACCATGACGCTGGTGGCAACAGCGGGCGGCGCGGCGGCGCGGGAGTTTTGGAAACGGCTGCGGCCCGGAGAGGTGTACCTGGCGTGGTACGAGGACGACTCGGTATGGCACGAGAGGATTTGTTTCTGGCCGACGGCCGAGGAGACCATCTGGGTGATATTGACGCCCGACGGGCACGCGTACGCTGAGAGCGTCGTGGGCTGCGAAGACGGCCCCTCCAGGACGCGGGGACTTCGCGGCGGCGCGCTGCCAGGCGGGCTGCGGGAGAGCGTGTACCGTTTCAAGGAGTACCCTGGGACTCGGGAGCTGGAGAGTGCTGATGACGGAGGCTCGCGAGGAGGCGACCCTGGCAGCGGCTGGTGCCACCCTGCCCGTGGTCACGGTGTACGTCAGCCCCAGTGGGCGCGAGAGGCCGATCGGGACGCTGCTGGAGGCCGCAGGAGGAGTCGCTGAAGGCGTGGACGCGCTGCCTGCCGCCACGGCCGACGGTCTGCCCGCAGGGCTGACGATGGTCACTGCACCGCGGCCACCTCCCGAGGGGAAGGTCTGGGCGGTGGTGGACCTGTGGGTGGGCTGGGAGCGCGTCGGCGAGCCACTGGAGGTCGGCGTCGGGGACCTGATATTGCCTGGCAGTGGTGTCTGGCAGGAGGCGCTGGTCCGTGAGGGCGGTGGGTGGACGAAGGTGCTGGCCCTCAGCGAGCACGAGCGGGAAGGCTTTCGCGAGCGGGCTCGGCGGCCACTCGCCACCGCCACGCCTGAGGGGGCGGTGGGAGAGGCGGAGGCCGCCGCCGGCACCAGCACCCCGCGCCCTGAGGGCGGCCTAGACGCCATGGCTGCGAGGCTTGGCGCGGGCGATCAGAGCGGCGGTGGAGGCGGCCCCAGCAGTGACGGAGACGTACGCACGCAAGCCGTCGACTTCGACGCGCAGGGCAAGAGGTGCAAGGCCTGGCGGGAGGTGGTGGCGGAGATGTCTCGACACGGTTTCGCGGACTGGCCGCTCGACACGCCGCCGGCCGCGATCCACTTCTGCGCCCGTATGGAGAGGACGGGACGAGTGCCGTCAGGATGGCTGGACAAGTGGGCGCAGAGTAAGAACATCGTGAGTAGCGATCGCGTGTATTATGAGTTGAAGACGATCATAGATTCATTGGAGTACGCACGATGCTACGACCAGCTCAACCTCGGCTCGCTGGTGTTCGCGGAACTCCTCTGCCTGCGGGCGCAGGCCATAGTCGACGCCTACGACACCAACCCGAACAAGCCTAGCTTCGAGAACGCGAAGTACTTCTCGGGCCTCAAGAGCTTGTCAGATGCGGTGTCGCCCGACCTGAAGAGCTTCGCTGCTCGGGAGGCCAAGGAGGAGACCGAGGTTGAGAAGCAGCGGCAGAAGGTCAGAGAGTTGCGCGGCAAGGGCGACAACAATAAGACTGATGCCGCGGGGGGAAAGAAGTGATCGTCGCGGCTGTGTCTGGGACCACCAGCGGACACAGCGCGCACATGAGACTGGTGGGCCGTACCCGAAGGAGCATTTCAACCCCGAGAAGATGTTTCCCGTGCCGTTGCTCGAGACAGAGCCCCCTGCTCGTGTCCTCTCCCGTGGAGTACGGCAGCGAGTTGGGCGTCGGCGCGCGTTGGACAACAGGGCCAACGAAGTTCTGCATGCCTTGAACTGGATGTCAGGTTGCGGAGCCGCTGTGGAAGTATGTCGAGCCCCCGCAGCCGCAGCCCCAGTCCATCGAGAGATCTACGAGCGGGTGCTCAAGGCTGTCCACAGCTGGAAGTCACCTGGCCACAGTGTCTCTCAGGAGGAAGCCGCGCGCGCGCGCTTCTCCGCGCCGGGTCGGTGTACGACCAGGCGCACATGACTGTGGGACCCTACAAGGAGGGCAAGGAAGGTGTCGCTCCCCGCTGACGTCCGCGACGCGAGGTACGCGGACTTGATCGGGGGCCCGCGCGCCCGCGTTTTGCTCGAGAGGTTTATCGAACGTAATCGGCGGAGTTCCGAGGAGGTGAGCGAGCTCGATCGCTCTTTTGGGGCTGTTAAGCAGTACGTGGGCCGCCGCTTGGAGTCGTCGCCTCGGCTCTACAGGAGGTTTGTGCGCCAGCTTGACCAGAAGGGCATGATTCATTGGACGAAGGCCCCCAAGTGTATTATTTCGGTTTTCTTCGTCAAGAAGAAGAGTGGGGCCCTTCGTATGATCACGGATGCGAGACCTGTTAACCGACTTTTTCAGCCACCCCCTGGGGTACAGCTATGCACTGCCGAGGGCCTGGGAAGCATTGAGCTCCAGGGGGAGACCGCCCACGTGTACATGGCGCAGGCGGACGTCGCGGACTGCTTCCATCGACTGCGGATGCGGGAGGAGCTCGCGGAGTTCTTCGCGATGCCTCCCCTGACGGCGCGGGCTGCCGGGCTGCTGGGGCGAGCGAATGTGGACGTCGTCTCCGATGACGAGCTGTGGTGGCCCTGCTGTGCTACTTTCCCGATGGGCTTCAGCTGGGGCCTCGCGGTGGCGCAGAGCGCGAACGAGTATCACGCGGCGCAGGGTCCAGGGCTAGAGCTGTCGCCGCCGATGGCGGATCGCCGCGGCCCCGCGGTGCTGCGGGAGGGCGCAGCGGCCGCGCACTACGTGCGCGTGGACAGCCTCGGCGTGGTCAGCGCGGGGCGAGAGACAGGTGCGGCTGGCTTCGCGGGTGCGTGCGAGTCCTTCGAGCGCGCCGGCCTGATGCTGCGCGACCGCCTGGAGGAGCCGAACACGATGGAGGGCCTAGGCGTGGAGCTGGGCGCTGAGAGGCGCGAGACGCGGCTCACCGCGGCACGCTACTGGCGACTGGATGCTGGGTTGCAGTGGCTGCTGGCACGGCGGAAGGTCTTTACGCACATCGTCGAGGTTTTCGTGGGCCACTGCACCGGCGTCTGTCTGCTCGTGAGGCAGACGATCTCCGTCTTTCACGCTGTGTACATGTTCGTGCTGGCCTACCCCGCAGGTCTTTCCCCGATGTGGAGCTCGGTGAGAGCTGAGTTCACCGCCTTCTTGGGGCTCATGCCGCTGTTGATCGCCCCTTGGGAGTTGCCCTGGAGTGGAGTGGTCGACGCCAGCGACGCGAGCGAGGGCGGGTTGGGGGAGCTGTTCCACGTGGCGGGGAGCTGAAGCGGCTGCCCTGCACGGGCGCGTGCCCGAGAGGTCGAGATATAAGCTGACTTCGGCCTCAGCCAGAGCCCACGCCTTGCAACAGGCTGGCTTGAACTCCTTCGATGTTGAGGAGCCCGAGCTCTTGGGGGAAGAGTTCGAAGAGGTGGGGGACTTCCCCGAGATCCCGAGGCGCCTGCTTGACAAGCGGGACTGGCGAGTCACCCTTCGGGGCCGCTGGAGAGCAGCGGAACGCGTCGCCCTGTTGGAGGCCCGAGCGGCAGTAACCATGCTGCATCGGGGCGCGCGGGCGCGGCCTAGCGCCCACGTTCGCAAGTTATACCTGGGTGACAACCTGGGGATGGTGCTGGCATTCGAACGGTGCCGGGCACGAGATTTTGCCATGCTGACTCGAATGAAAAAGTGGTGTGCGATCTGTCTTGCAAGAGAGATTCGACCAGCTATCAGGTGGATTCCGTCAGAGGGGAATGTTGCAGATGAGCCCTCCAGCGACCTCCATGGTGGCCCTCTCCGTTTACCGCAGCCGCCTGGGCTCGAGCTTGGAGGAGGGCGGCGGGCGGAGCTTCCTCCAGCACAGCAACCGACGGTGCATGCTGCCGCGGGCTGGGCTGAGCGCGACGGACCCGCCGAAGGCGGGCAAGCGCGCGGGAGCTCACCGCCCCTGTGGCTGGGCAGCCGCGGGCTGGTCAGACGGAGCTGGGGCGGCCGAGCAGGCTGCGAGTGCTGACAGAGGAGGTGGCCCTCGGCTCCCTGACCTCCAGGCTGCGCTGCAAGCGGGTGGGGCTCTCCGACGACCTCGAGGATTTCGTGGGGGACGCGGCCCTCGACCCGCCCGATTCGGAGGGCAGCAGCGAGAGCCGGTCGGAGCTGGCGAAGGGGGCGGCCCAGAGGACGAGGGGGCTCGAGAAGGGGGTCAACCCGAGGAGGGGGATCACGCACCTGGAGGGGAAGAGCGTGACCCCAAAGGTGATGGAGGACTACCGCCGCAGAGTGAAGATAGCGCTCAGCTACGCCCAGAGGCGGCAGTTGCCTGCCAACAACGCCGACGAGGTCGACCAGTTGCTCACCCACCTGATGAACGCAAGGTGCCGCGACGGCGAGCACAGCAGCTACGGCGTCAAGCTTCTCGCCGCCTGGGTGGCGATCTACCCCGGGTACGGCAAGTACGGGCCCCAGCGGTTGCCCAGGAGTGGGCGAGCGCTCAAAGGCTGGAAGCGACTGGTGCCTGGGCGCGCGAGGAAGCCCTTCCCTTTCCCCGTCGTGGCCGGCCTGGTTGCGGCGCTGATCCACCTGGGGGAGCTCGAGGTGGCGCTGTGGACCCAGGTGTGCTTCGGGTTCTACCTCAGGCCCTGCGAGTGCCTGCGGATGCAGCCAGAGGACCTGGTAGCCCCTGTGGTGGGCATGTCGGAGCACTGGGGCCTGGTGATAGCACAAGAGGAGCGGGGGGTCCCTACCAAGGTGGGCGCTTTCGACGACACACTGCTGTGGGACGCCCCCTATTTGAGCTTCATGACTGGAGTTTTCTCGGTGCTGCGGAGGCGGGCGCAAGGGGGGCCGATGTGGAATCTGGACTACCCACGCGTCCTGAGGTCCATGAGGATGGCGTCGAAGCTCTTGGGCGTCGACGCAGTGCCGTAACACATGCGCCGCTCGGGGCCGAGCTGGGGCCGACTGAAGAACGTGCGAACGCTGCGGCAGATCCAGAAAAGAGGCAGGTGGGCGTCAACGAAGAGCCTGGTGAGGTACGAGAAACACGGCAGGCTTGCCATGCAGATGTCGGAACACTCAGAGGCCCGCCAGGAGTGGTTCAGAAGCTGCGAGGCACACGTAGGGGAGTTCGTCCTAGGTTCGAGAGTCGTAGACTGGCCGCCTCCGCCGTGAAGGAGGGAGTTTTCCTGGATCTTTTTTTCTGGCTCGAGCGGGGTGGCTAGGGCCGTCAGGGCTGAAGGTTTCAAAGCTGTAGAGTGGGACCGAAAGTTCGGTGAGGCCTTTGATTTAAGCCGTCAAAAGCACGTTCGGATTCATCAAGAAGATGATCCGTGACGGAGAAGTCATTGGGGCTTGCTTGGCTCCGCCCTGTGCCAGTTTCTCAATTGCCAGAGATCGGGCCAGGATGGTTCGCGACGAAAGCCATCCTTGGGGTCTTCCCGATCTTCCAGAGCATGAGCAGTCGAAGGTAGAAGACGGCAATCGTTGCCTTCAGTCGTCGTTGCAGATATTTCGCTGTCTGAATCTTTTCTCGATTCCCTGGGCCTGGGAAGACCCGCTGACAAGTGGAATGTGGTTGACACCCCGGGCCCAGACAAACGAAAGCTTAGATGTGGTGAATGACGTAACCTGTGATTTCTGTATGATGGGTACCCCCTGGAGGAAGAGGGCCCGCATTCGATTTGGCAGCGTGTGTTTAGAAGATCTAGAGAAGCTTGCGCGTTTGAAATGTTCAGGAAGAAACGGTCTTTTATCCCGTACTGGCAAGAAGCATTTCCAGTTTACGGGGGGGGGGCCACAAGAGTTCGATGGGCCGCCATCGCTGAGCCCTACCCCCCGAAATTGTGCCGCCTGCTCGCGCGAATCCTCACTGAGAAAGCTCGTTCCCAGAGACAGCCGGCAGGTCCCAAATGGGGTAACTCTCCGAGTTTTCGGGATGCCCGAAACCTTTTCGCGCTGCGGGACGTTTTGACAGCTTTCTCCTGCTCCTGGGAGCCGTGGTGACCCAGGAGCTCTCGCCGTGTGTAGACAGCGTCACAATCATCCGAGATAGATTGCCCACCAGAAATGAGCACTCCCAGTAATTGATGTGCGTGCACAGGTTTGCATGGGAGTTGCTCGGAGTCATCTTGCCTTGCGTCTGTCAACCGCAACCGTTTTCTCTCAAGTTTCTCGCGGCCCAGTGCCGTGCCCTGTGTTTACCTTGCCCCGCTTCCCTTGTCTCTTGAGAACTGGTCGAGGCCGACGGCTCGGTCAAGATGGAACGCCCGCCAGCGGGCCGCCACCTTCACCGACGAAGCGTCCGCTGCTCGTCCTCAAGCCTCGACTTGCTTTGTCGGACTCGGGACGTTTTGAAAGCTTTCTCCTGCTCCTGGGAACCGTGGTGACCCAGGAGCTCTCGCCGTGTGTAGACAGCGTCACAATCATTCGAGATAGATTGCCCACCAGAAATGAGCACTCCCAGTAATATTGATGATGGCGACTATGATGATGCTGATGTTGATTGTGATGTTGATTGTGCTGCTGAATGTAGTGATGAGGAGGATCAAGATTATGATGATGCTTGCGAGGAGGATGATGACGGTAATGCTGATGACGCTACTGATGTTGATGATTCTGAAGATGAGGACGAGGAGAGGATATCAATGAGGATGCTGATCGGGATGCTGATGCTGCTGCTGCTGATGATGATGAGGATGAGGATGGCGATGCTGATGATGACAATGATGATGATGATAATGATGATGATGATGATGATGATGATGATGATGATGATGATGGTGGTGATGATGATGATGATGATGATGATGGTGATGATGATGAGTAGTACGATGATTATGATGATTATGACGACGAGGCTGATGATGCTGCTGATGATGATGCTGATGCTGGTGCTGAAGCTGATGCTGCTGCTGATGCTGATGCCGAGGATGAAGATGCTGCTGATGATGATGAGTGGGGATGAGGATGTTTGTGTGCATGATGATAACGGGTCATTTTGATGGTGCTGATGTTGATGCTGATGCTGATGCTGCTTCTGATGCTGATGATGGTGCTGATGAGGGACGTGATGTAGCTGCTGATTGGGATGACGCTGCTGATGATGCTGCTGCTGATGCTTCTGATGATGGTCATGATAATGATAATCGTGCTGATCAGGTTGATTATGATGATTTGCATGGTGAGGATGATGATGCTGGTGATGATGCAGATTCTGATGATGCTGACGTTGATGATGCTGGCGCTGATGCTGATGCTGATGATGATGAGGGTAAGGATGAGGACGCTGATGAGGAGCATGAGGAGGATGCTGATGAGGATGATGAGGATGATGCTGCTGATGCTGATGATGATGATGCTGATGAAGATGATGCTGATGAGGATGCTGATGCTGACGATGGCCATTACCATGAGTATGCTGAGTTTGATGCTGATGCTGATGTTGATGCTGATGTTGATGCTGTTGCTGCTGCTGAGGATGATGAGGATGATGTTTTTGAGGGAAATGATGGTGACGATGAGGAGGAGGAGAAGGCCGATGATGATGCTGCTGATGAGGAGGATAAGGATGAGGATGATGATGCGGATGACAATGCTGATGATGATGGCCATGCTGATGTTGATGCTGATGCTGCTGCTGATGATGCTGATGATGAGGATGATGCTGGTGAGGAGGAGGATGAGGATGATGAGGACGTGGATGAGGATGAGGGTAAGGATTACGATGCTGATGATTGTGCTGATAATTCTGATGCTGATGCTGATGCTGGTGTTGATGATGATGAGGATGCTGCTGTTGCAGATGATGATGAGGATCTGGATGAGGATGATCATGAGAATGATGGGGAGGGTGATGATGACGATGATGAAAGAGAGGATGATGATGAGGATGAGGATGAGGACGATGATCCTGATGATGCTAATGATCATGACGATGATGCTGCTGTTGACGCTGGTGCTGATGATGCTGCTGCTCATGGTGATGAGGGTGAGATTTAGGATGATGATGCTGATGGTGAGGAGGAGGAGCAGGAGGATGATGATGATCGTTCTGATGTTCGGGGTGTGAATCGGGATGAAAATGAGGATGCTTACGATGATGGTTACGATGTTGCTGTTGATGCTGATGCTGATGCTGCTGCTGCTGATGATGATGATGATGATGATGCTGATGCGGATGTGGATGATGATCCGGAGGAGGATGATGATCATGATGAGGATGATGGTGATGTTGCTGCTTAAGATGGCAGTGCTGATGATGATAATTATTATGATGATGCCGCTGATGATGATGATGACGACGATTATGATGGTGATGATGATGAGTCTGATGTTGATGCAGACGCTGATGCTGCTGATGATGATGACGATGAGGATAATGGGGATGATGAAGAGGATGAGGATGATGATGAGGAGGAAGATGATGATGATTATGATGATGAGGATGAGGCACGGGATGAGGTTGAAGTTGAGGATGAGGCTTATGATGCTGACGCTGATGCTGATGCTGATGATGATGAATCGGATTATGATGCCGATGTTGATTATGATGCTGCTGCTGATGATGATGGTGAGGATGAGGATGAGGATGAGGATGATGAGGAGGATGAGGATGGTGAGGAGGAAGAGGAGGGCGCAGGTGCTCTTGATGATGATCATGATGATGAGGCTGAGCATGATGATGCTGCTGATGATGACTATGATTATGATGACGATGCTGAGGATGATGATGCTGATGATCATGATAAGTATGATGATGATGCTGATGCTGCTGATGCTGATTCTATTGATGAGGGTGAGGATGGCGACGAGGACGAGGATGACCATGCCGATGCTGATGATCATGATAATGATGATGACGATATGACGATGCTGATGTTGATGCTGCTGCTGATGCTGCTACTCATGCTGATGACGATGAGGATGATGGTGGTGAGGATGAGGATTAGGATGAAGATGAGGATGTGGATGCTGATGACGATGAGGATGAGGACGAGGACGATGATGAGGATGGTGATGGTGATGCTGGTTATGATGATGATGATGCTGATGTTGATGATGATGCTTTTGCTGCTGCTGATGATGATGCGGATGCTGCTGATGATGATCAAGATGATGATGAGGATGATCATGATGATGATGACGAGGAGGATGATATTGAAAATGGTGATGCGGATGCTGATGATGATCATGATGATGATCATGAGGTTGGGGATGAGGACGGTGATGCTGCTGCTGATGATGATGGTGCTGATGATGATATGTATTAGGATGACGCTGACGTTGATTTTGACGATGATACTTCTGCTGCTGAATGTGATGCTGATTGTACTGATGAGGATGAGGATGAGGATGAGGATGAAGATGAGGATGACGATGAGGAAGAGGATGACGATGTTGATGATGCTGAGGAGGAAAAGGAGGAGGAGGGATGTGGAGGAGAAGGGGCGGGAGGAAGAGCAGTCGGTTGAGGAGGTTCTTCCAGGGAGCTGGATGTGCGTGGCTGGACGAGGGCTGGATGCGCATGTGGCCGCGTCGTGTCCCTTCGAGGGCCAGGCAGGCTAGCCTTTGGCATGTGTATCCAGCATGTCGCCAACGGATGTGGTGCATGTGAGCCAGCCGTGTGTCAGAAGGAGTTGGGCTAGTGATGAATTTATTGCAGAGTGCGACAGTGGCTTTCTCTTTCTTCGCAGCTCTTTCAAGATTTCCCTCATTGGAGTGGCCGCGGGGACATGGCGCCTTTCTCATGTCAAAATGAGCGTATGAACCCGTGTGTGTCTGTGTGTGTTTGCGTGTGTGTGTGTGTGTTCAAGCCCGCTTGGTGTACACGGCTTTCTTGCACTGCATGATCGCTATGGCTTTTTCACGTGCATGCGCGCTCTGCGTTTTTCCCGGGAAGGGCGCTGGCCCCGGGTTGTTTGAGTTTGTTA